TATATATATAATTATTAATTACATATGGTATTTATAACATAAGTATATTATTTATTGCATAACCTCCACCAAGCAACATGATGTGATGTGATGTGAGGAGTAATTGCCTGTTCTCCTTAATTTCATTTAAATCTCCCCTTATAAACACAGGCTTGATTGGCTCTAATAAAGTTTATATTGAATTGAATTTAATTGAATTGAATTGCTGCAGGAAGAATAAGGAACGCCCACTTGTGCAAATAGTTCCACATTTTTATATGATTTTTTGATTTTATGTGCATGTAAAAAAAGAAATTAAGTGATTTGATATATTTTTCTTTTGTTTTATCTCTTTGAAATTAAAGGAAAAAAGAGAATACTTTTCTCCCGCTGTACAAATGGAAAACTCGACTCTCTCTCTCCCCCATTTAATTCATCATCTCTACGCCGCCCGCCGCATCGAGCCACCGCTCCATGGGAGCGCACTCCGCCTTGTGCGCCAGCTTCCAGTGCAGCGCCTGGCACGCCCTCGAGCAGTAGTTGACGACGCCGCACACGGAGCAGCGACGGAACTCGTGACGCCTGGTCTCCGCCCTTCCGCACCCGCCGTGGGAGCAGAAGCGGAGCCCCTCCTCTCCCGGCCCGCTCTCGCCGGCGCCGCCCCTCGACGTGAACCACTCCACCATGAACCGGTTGGCCGGGTGCGCCTCCGGGGCTGGTACGTTGCAGCCGAAGTCGCTCAACAGGGAGCAGCCGGAGGCCAGGCCGTCGCGGTGGTGGTGCTGCCAGGCGGCGGCGGCGGCGGCGGGGGAGGAGGGGTTGAGGACCGCAGCAAGCTCCCGGGCGTTGGCCTGGATGAGGAAGCGGCGGCCTTCCGCGACGTTGCGCCGGACGCCGTATCCGTCCTGGAGACAGTGGCCGAGCTCCCGAAGCGCGTCGACGTGGCCGAGGACGGCCGCGCGGGCGCACAGCGCCACCCCCGCGCCAAGGTCCTTGTCGCGCTTGGACCCTCCGCTGCCGTTGAACTGTATAACCGCCAGCGAGTACAGCGCCGCCGCGTGGGACCCCATCGCCGCCCGCGCCATCAGCGCCGCCCCGCTCCCTCGGCTCTCCAGGCAGTAGAACCGGATCTGCAGAACCCAACCACACAACACAAATCAATCAAATCTGCCTCCTCCAAAATCCTTCCTTTTCCGCCGAGAACCTAAAACAGCAGAGACGCCTCCTACCATGCCCAGCATGTAGCAAGCTTCGAGATTTCCGGCGTCGGCGCACTGCTTCAAGAACCTGTGCGCCGATTCCGTCCAGTTCCTGGCTCCAACCGCGAGCGATTTCACCGACGCCGTGGCGAGAACCAGCGGACTCGATCCCAACCCGTCCAGCCTCTTACACCTACAATCGTTCCAACAAAAAGATCAGATCTTTACCGTCGAATTACAATCAAACGAGACACCGCAGGAGGAACAGAAGAAACGCAGTACGTTATCCGGACGCTGGCGAGATCCGACGGAGACGCAGCTGAGGCGCTCAGCTTGGAGAGGATGGAGACGACGAGGTCATCCGGGATGGTATCGAACAAGTCAGGCCACTCAGCGGCGGTTCGCCTTCCAACTCGGTGGAGCCTCCGCGTCCTCTTCCTGGCCCTACCGGCCTGTCCCTCGTCCACCGCCCTCCACTGGGCCTCCCACTGCGGCAGCCCGGGGTAGCAGAGCCCTCTTCTCGTCCTCATATCTCCAGCAGCCCGTAACCCGTTCGCCCGTGTGCCCAAGGCGGAGGAAGTCTCAGGGGCGGAGGAGGAGGAGAGAGAGAGAGACAGATGCTTCCTTTTATACACGGAGATGACTATATCTGGAAAGCTCCCGATACGTAATGACTCTTCTGCCCTCGCGAAACGGTGGGATTCGCCCGTTAACGCAGGTCAAACGGGGGTTGACGGTTCGCTCTCCGTCGCGTCACCCCAAAGGCTCTCATAGCTTCCCATGCACACATCCCTTATCATAACGCAACACGTTCCTTGGCCGGTCTCAGGTCAAGTAGTATGTGAGAGTGAGTCAGTGAGAGAGAGAGAGAGAGAGAGAGAGGGATAGGTGTTTGGCCATGGGAGGAAGAGGTGGTTAATAACTTCTGGCTTTGGCAAAGTAAACACGGTTAGGAGTTAACCGCAGCTGGATTAACAGGAAATCGAAACGGCCTGCACAAACTTAGCCTCAGGTGAGGGAGGAGGGGAAATGTCAACCTTCCAATTCAAAGAACATACAAGAAGAAAGAAGAAGGAATAAGGAATGATAGGAAGCATGTGGTGGGGGATTTGGGTTCGAATGTTCTTATCGGAATATGAGATAAATCTATATCAAAGAATTATCGATCGATCACAAAGTAATTAAATATACCACCAAATGAACTCATCGTTGACCTAACTTGTGGTTGCTTTACTCGGAAGAAGAGGAGATGAAGGTTTCGTCGGGGCACATCTCAAACAAATAAGTCGTCATCGATGCCATCTACTACATATTTTTTTGTATGTTCCTACTCAACTTGAGGTAGATATATGGATTTAAAGGATAAGATCACTTCTACTAGAAAAGAAATGCAATGGGTTGCGTGGATTCCAACATGAATTGTGTTGTTGCCAATCGGATGGTGGCAATTCTCAATTAACTCTATTAATTCACACATATATGAAGGATTACAGCTTTTGATGAGTTCATAAACATTTCTTTTCTTCACAAGTTGAAGTCAATTGTTCCTTATAACGTTTCGTTTGCTTTTGTTTGGTGGATTAAGCAGCATCAAATATAATAATCCGATGTTAAACGTGATGATCAACACACACACACACACACACATATATATATATATATATATATATATATATATATATATACAACAGAGGCAATGTGAGACACATGCTCCGACTTTTATGGCCAATAACCGGGCATTTGACCTTGGCAGCATTAATCTAAGAGGAGGAGTAAGCCAGCCGAGAGATTACCTTTGTGTGCCTTAGAAGTTGCAACCTATACTCCAACAAGTAATCAACAGTTTACTCTTCATTGAATAAGGCTAATGGTTCGATGATACTGAATGGAATCTGTTAGTGTAAACAACTTTTTAGCCGTGACCTTAGGGCCGATGCGGCTTGGTTCGAGTCCGGATGATGGGTTGTCGATTCCTTCGAGAGGAGGTCCTTTGCCAACGCGCCCGGAGAGAAACGCCTCGCCTTCGTCCCTGCACACAGGTCGGGACGAGAGAGCTCGACCCGACCCCTCCGACGATCAAGTTAGTGAATAATCGTAGTGGTGTTGTTATCTATGTTTTTTCCTCCCTTTTCGTTTGGTATGCAAGGGTATTTATAAGGGAGTTCGGTGTTACCTGATGTACCTGTCCGTAGAGGGTAAGATCGTACCTTCTGATGACATCTGACATCGCTATCGACGTAGCGTGCGGAGTCAAACCTGAGCGGTCGTTAATGGGCCTCGATTGACGTTTCAACCCGTGTCAGTCACGCGGTGTCGGACTAACAGGGGAGCGAGACCTCAGCAGGTGTCACGCAAGTCTTATCGTAATTATTACCCTCATCAGAATTAAAATCGAATTCTAACGATTTGATTCTAATTTAATTCTAAATCGATTAGAAAAATAAAAATTAAAAATAGATAGATTCGATGCCACCTCACCGCCCCTTCTCTCTCTCTCTCTCTCTCTCAGACCATATATGTACTGTACGAACATGCTCACTGTGCAGATTGCGCAGGTAAAGGGTGCCTTGGGATTCTACAATGGTGCTGCGAGTCCCTAATCGCTCCATCGTTCTCTGATCCCCGAGGAGACCGCTGAAGTACCAGTTTCTACGTGAGTGCATGTACGTGATCTACTACTCTTTGTGTCTTATTGAGCGGGGCAAAATGGTATTCTTCGAACTACTTGATTTGGATCGTCGATTATTCCTTTTACAGACCATAGAATTGGATTTCTGTGGGTGGTGTTGTATGATTGGATTGGGTGCAATCCTAAAGTCGAGTGGAGGATGTCCTGAGTATTGATGATTGAAGCTTGAAGTTTCAGGAGCAATATACAGCTTGAGAATCCAAGTCATGGATGAACACTTCTTTACCTTCTTTGGGTGATACAAAGATTGGGCTGAAGGGGATAATAACATCATGGCATCAATCGACCAAATCGTATATCACACTGCAATCTGCAATCTGCAATCTGCATGCATGCAAATATCACACTGCAATCTGCATGCATGCAAAGTCACTTTGCCCCCATGCAATAAAATCAGGTTAATTTTGATGCTAATTATCACGATCACTGTGCCACATCACCGTCGATCACCTCGCCAACCTAAAATTAATATATTTTTAATATATTTTGTGAATGAGTATAACTCAGAGTGTAAGCCAAGTGTGATAGTTTTTCTAGATAATTTAAGATAATTTTATATAGAAATTAATATATTTTTTAAGGATAACTTGATATTTTTAAATTTTATTATAAATTTATGATATTTTTTATATAAAAATTAATATAATTTTTTAATAAGTCTTGTGAATGAGTGTAACTCGAGTGTAACGATTAATCTAAATACATATATATATATATATATATATATATATATATATATATATAAA